AACGAATATCAAAATGTCGAGCTTAAAAATCTCCAATGATTCCACATCAAAAGCATTTACGCATTTTTTTCTTCCCCTTCTTTTTATTCTTTATCTCAGGTTTCAGTGTCACACTACAGAGGCGGCTAAGTTGGAGGCTGAGGTAACAAAAGCTCAGGACACGATCACTGCCGCCCAGCAGCTCCTATCACAACTGGAAGGAGAACACACACGGTGGAACGCACAGGTAGTTTGACGTGTCTGTGTGTTGAGGTGTGTACCGGTGAGGGAGGTTATACGCATTTACTAAGAAAGGGGCACTTTTAACACATAAGAGCAACAGGAGCTGTGTGTGTGTTTTTGTGTGTGTGTGTGTGTGTGGTGTGTGTGTGTGTGTGTGTGTGTGTGTGTGTGTGTGTGTGTGTGTGTGTGTGTGTGTGTGTGTGTGTGTGTGTGTGTGTGTGATGATAGGGGGGATGTATCCTGCTGTCTTTGGTCCCTTCTGGCTGTTTTTACTCCTCTCTGCAGCATCTGTCTGCGCCTTAATTAAAACACTCAATCTCTTGCTGACACGCACACTTGCGCACACACACACACACACACTCACTGCCTCCCTCAAGGTCCGCACCCACCAAAGAGCCAGTTAACTCTCTTCTCACGTATCTCCATATCCTCACACTACACATTTCCTCCCCAACACTTTTGCACACTGTGCAGAAGCTGTGGTTAGCTATATGTTGATGCCTCTAAGTTGTTAAAAGTGTTTCAAGGGCACATGGGGAGAGGGGTAAACAAGAGAGTGAGCGAGTACAGACTGAGTGGTGCATAAATAGATGGATGTTTTGAGCTAAGGTGTTGGGTGTATCATGATGTCTGACAGTATTAAACCAGAGATCGCATGGTTATGAAAACCGGCAGCACAGAGATGGCGGGATTCAGGGTCATAAGGCGTTTCAATTAAGCCTGATGCATAGTTATTCTCCAAAAATCGCTTGTGAGCATGCTAATAGACTCAAATTAATTCCGGCTCAACATAGAAATCATAACATTACATTATCTCATAATAACAAGTGTGTGCCTGTGTTACTGCATTTGTGTTCTGGTCAGAGTCAGTGTAGACTTTTGGGGATTTTTGGGGCTAGAAGTCGGGGTTTTGTGGTTCATCAGAGGAAACGCATGCAATGCCCACGAGGGTCTGGTTACTTACCTTTCCCTTCTTTTATCCCTCTGATTCCTCCCAATCCCCGCAGTGCCCTCCCCTCTCTTGTCTGTTAATAATCTGTTCTTTCACCCTAATCACCTACTCTCTTTTTGATCAGATGTCTGAGATAAAGAATGAGTTGGAAACGCTCCCTATGAGGGCCATGCTTGCTGCAGCCTTCATCACCTACCTCTCTGCAGCATCTGAAGACCGCAGGAGACACTGTCAAGAGACATGGATGGCTCAATCCGGACTACAAAGTAAACATACAACTACTTATACATAGCTAACGACACACTAGCACCAGACACACAAAAAGCACACTACTTTCTCCTCTCCTTAACTCTAAGTGTTACAATAGCTTGATCACCATTTAACTAGTTCACTATTGAACATTTAACACTCTAAGAATACAACTTCACTCAAGTAACCCAACATTGCAACTGTATTTAGCAACACAACAAGTACAAATGTCAGGAATTCACATTAAGCATTACAGAATTGAATAATCCTGTTTTTCAGAACTGGATTTGACTTCTCATCTGCCAAGCATAATCACCTTCATTTGTCAGCCTTCCAAAATTCCCTCTACACAAATGAACCTGAAAACGTGTGAAAGTCTCTTTCAGCACTAATTAGTGTCTTATTAATAGCTCCTTCCACATTATTCCGCTTGGCAACCTCGTTCCCAGGGGGCTTCAGATGTGCATGTTAAGAGCTGAGTCAAGTTGACCCACTATCATTTTTTTAAATCCTTATGTCCTTCCAATGGCTTCTCCACAATAGGGGTGCTTAATCGATTAAAATCGATGACCAAATTAGTTGCCAACTAATTCAGTCACAGTTTTAGTGTCGCCAACTCGTTTCTAACATGCAAAAAGACAAAAAAATGCGTCTATGGTGTATTTTCGATCTTTCCAATCGAGACGAGATCTCTCTCCCCCGTCTGTGTGCGAGGGGGCGGGGCAGTTTACACACATGCACAGCTGCTACATGCATGCAACACACACACACACACACACACACACACACACACACACACACACACACACACACACACTCACACACTCACACACACACACACAGCGGGGATGGCGGAGAGAAGCGCTCCAAGGTGTGGTTAAATGTTACCCGTCTCGATGTGGACAATGCTCTTTGCCAAAAGTGTAATAAGAGTTTAGCATGTAAGGGCGGTAACACGAGCAATTTGTCTAAACATTTAGCAAAAGTGCTCCACATTCAGACGGAGAAATGCACCGGGCTCGACTGTCTTTCTAGTACCTAGCTCTGTAGCCCCGCCCACGAGTAACTTTTCCCCGTCAGCAACACACGGAGTTAACAAAATTATAGAAACATGGGTTAATGATTAGAGGTAACTGAGTTATTTATTTTGTTAAAGTTTCAGCTATTCTGTTTACAGTTCTGTCATCACATTATTTAATACGATTTGTTAAAACATTGTTGTTTCTTATTTAATTTAAATAAAAAGCGATGTTAATTGTTCACAATTTGTCAAGTTAATTTAATAATATATGTATTTTTGAATCAAGTATTAATCTTTATTGTTTTCATTGTTAGTTTCCACATGCCTAAAACAACCTCAAGCTAAATCTAAAAGTTGATGGCTAAATAAGAGCGTTTGAGAAATTGTGCAAGGCACACAGTAATAGTCCGAATAGTCGATTAATCGTTTCATTAATCGATTATCAAATTAGTCGTTTGTTGCAGCCCTACTCCACAATGTAGGTGTCAAGATAACTTAGTGAACCCACTTAAAGTGTATTATACTGTGTTTAGGCACTATTGATGAGGCTTGTTGTCAGTAACTGTCATATCACAGGATTGTTTTTAGTGGGCAAAAAGAAAAGCAACAAATCTGCATTTGTGTGTTGTTTGTTTGTTTCAGAGTTTGACTTGCGTTCATTCCTGTGCTCGGAGAGTGAGCAGCTGATCTGGAAGGGTCAAGGGTTGCCATCTGATGACCTCTCCATGGAGAATGCACTGGTCATATTACAGGTTAGACATCCATTTGTCACTCGGTCTAATTTTGTTCATTTTTCCACTTTTGCTTTATTTCCCTTAATAACAATTCAGATTTTTCACAGGAAGATCTATTGTAATGTAGACTTAATGCAATGTAATCCCCAACATCCATCTCCTTCTGCAAAGTTAACTTTTTTCTATTTCTATATTAGCTTACAGTAAGGCTTATGCTCTCATGCATTACAAAAGACATCAAAGTACAATATAAATACAGCACTCTCTTGTAAGAGCCAGTCTCCATATTAATAGTTTTGTCAATAATCTTTCCCTTGTTGCCATTCATCTGTCTTCCATTTGTCTGTAATGTGTTTTGTTTTTACCATTGCTGCATCAGATCAATGCACTCAAGCTACGGGTAAGAAGCTGTTCCATCATTCTTCCTTATAGCTTAGCGTAGCCTCCCTGTTTCTCTCACTGTCTGTCTGTGTGTTCCTTTTTTATAGTTTCTTTATTATTGTTGTTTCATCTTCTGTATACACTACCAACAAAATGTGTATGGCAGTCATTCACATTAACACAAACACACAAACACCAATATGCAAAAACCAAGATGACCTTTATCTGTATATTTATTAGACAACCTAATCATCTCAATCAATTAGCCTATTTGGTACAGAACTACAAAGGGGGTTAATTGCAGCAGTTTCTCACTAATATGTCAATGTATGCTGTGATGTACTTAGTGGGGATGGGAATTTGAAAGCAAATGTATATTCGGATATTCGACCCCCAAAAAAAAGGTTAACCGAAATGTACATATCCTATAACAAAAAGAAAAAAATGTGGGAAAAATGTTTACAAAAAGATAAAAAATATTTAATTTTGAAAAATAAATAAATACATGTTCAAATAAGTATAGAAACCAAGTCAAATTTGTCAAATGTATTGAACTGGTGATCACAGTTTGAACAGTTGACAGCTATAGGCCTACAGCTTTCATGCTTAAAACATAACTTGGTTTTTAAATTAAAGAGGGATCATACACGAACAACATAACCAGTTAGGGTAACGTAACCCTATTACAACAGAGATCAACAACCTATAACAGGGCCTATGTACAGAATGCAGCTATTCAATACTCATTCTTGTTTAAGAATATGAGCATATCTACATGCTCAGGGGAGAGGCGGGTGCGGAGGCGATTCACAATCAGGCCAGCCGTAGAGAAGACCCTCTCAGCTGGAATTTGGGCATAAGTTGAGGTTTGAGTCTGCGTGATCTGCGTATAGGGAGGGGCAGCAGCCATATCATTAGCTAGAACTAGCTAGATCTGATGGATTTGGACATAAACGCGAGTGAATTATAACCGGACGTGAGAGAGAGAGATCAGCACCTGCAGCTCTCCCCGCTGTGAGGGACCGGTGAGCGGAGCAAAACACACCCTTAGACCTAACACATTTTGTAGCTATGGCACTGTCGTATACATTGAATTATTCCATTTGATAATATGTAATCAACTTAGGCACTTCTCCCAAAAAAAAGGAAATTACAATAAAAATATTCATAACTCATATTCGAATACTTGAATCATTTCGAATATTCGATTAATCGTTCCCATCCCTAATACTTAGGTGCTGTTTACATGAAAACGCAAACGGTTGTATCCGCTACTTTTCTCTTTCGCATAGCCCGTTTGTTCACATGAGGCCGTAACGGAAACGCGGAAACGGACCCCGCAAACGATAACGGGTCCCAAGGTGGATAGATCTGCAACCGGAACGCTCTGGGGGGGCAATCGGCTCTGTGTTCTGTTTTGTTTCTTTTTGGCTTTGTTTTTGTTTTGTTTGTCTACCCTCCCTCCCAAATGTAAAGCGTCTTTGGATTCAAGAAAAGCGCTATAGAAATAAAATGTATTATTATGTCACATTTCTGCTCTTGGATAAACTTCACGGCATTGTCCTTTCTAATAATACAGTGTTATGGTTTAACTCGTACATTCACAGTAGAAAGCAATGTGTGGTTGTTAATGGGAAACAGTCTGACCTGTTGATCCAACAAAAGGGTGTAACCCAAGGATCAACTCTGGGCCTACTTCTGTTCTCTATTTACATAAATGATTTATCTTCTTGTCTCATTAATTGTTGTACTCACCTTTATGCTGATGACACTGTCATATATACATCCAAATCAGATTTTTCACAAATTCAGATCTCTCGTCAATCGGATTTTAATATCTTACAGGACTGGCTATCACACAATAAACTACTGCTTAACAAAACAAAGTCTTATACCATGGTCTTTGGTACCAGGCAGAAGCTCAAATCCAAACCTAATGTAGTAATAACATGTAAGGATGGCACTGCTCTGCATAAAATTGATAGCTTTAAATATCTTGGTGAATGGCTAGACACTGAACTTTCATTTAAACTACATATAAAGCATGTAATACAAAGTCAATTACGGAATCGGTGTTTTACACCGCTATTCTGCCCTTGCGTATGCATCGCACTGCATAGCTTAACAGATAGCTAACAAAGACTCAGAAGACAGTTGTTGAGTTGACCATTTACTGAGGCTTGAAATTGTAAAACTGCAAAAATAAACAGAAAAATACAACACAAGTTACACAATTTAAATAATACATGTGCAACATAATGCAAATAGAGTGCAGTATAATCAACAGCCTATGCTAAGAATGAGCTATGTCCGTTAGCTTAGCAGCTAGTTAGCTTAGCTTATCTTACACATTGAAACCACACAATCAATTAAACCACATTTTTGAAACATAACTTGGCACACATGTAAGTTTGTATACTTACAGACAGATCTACTCCAAGGATTAAAACAAAATGATCTGTGGCATAGAACTGAGCTACGATGTGCTCTGCATGGCTTTCCTGTGTAAACTAAAACACAAGAAGGAGTCGCGCTATCTGGTGCCTTAAAGCTACAGTACCGAATTTTGCCACTAGGGGGTGCCAATACACTATGGTGTCAGAACACTCCCCGCTTGGTAAACCTTTTTACCACTATTTACATCTCTTTACCCTTGGTATCAGTAACACCACATCGCTGATGGGCCTAAGGTACTCTTTAGCTGTCCCTTGACCTAAGGTCTTCACCATGACCTTTCGCACCTTGCCGTCCGAACTTGGAATGGCCTTTACTATCAGACCAAGAGGCCAGTCATTACGTTGTGCTTGAACGTCCTTTAACAAAACAACGTCACCATCCTGGAGATTAGGCCGCTCCTCGGTCCACTTCCTCCGAGGCTGAAGAGTTGCCAGATACTCCTGCTTCCACCGTTTCCAGAAGGAGTTCGCCAAGCTCTGAACCTGGCGCCACTGTACCTTACATAGGTGATCCAGTTCAAAGTCCCCCGGGGGTGTGGGTGTCACACTCGCCTTCTGGGTTAGAAGAGTAGCAGGTGAGAGTATCTCAGGAAGGTCTGTATCATAAGAGATGGGAACCAGAGGCCTGGCGTTCATGATGGCCATAACTTCAGCCATCAAAGTGGCCAGGACTTCATGGGTCAGTTTATCCTTATTCTTCAACAGCAGTGCATCAAGGACCCGTCGAGCCACACCAATCATCCTCTCCCAAGCTCCACCCATATGTGAGGAATGAGGTGCGTTAAATATCCATGTACAACCATGGTCTTGCAGATAGTCCTTGATCTCAGGATCGTCCGTGTTTATCTGAAGCTCTCTGCATGCTCCAATAAAGTGTGTGCCTCTGTCTGACCTGAGGTGTTTGACAGGTCCACGAATCGACAGGAAGCGCCTCAAGGCATTAATGCAACTTGAGGTGGTCAGGGTTTCTATAACCTTCAAGTGAACAGCTCTCGTACTGAGACATGTGAAAATGACTGCCCATCTTTTACTCTCAGCAGCACCACCTCTTGTGCGACGAGTTATCACACTCCATGGACCAAAGACATCAAGCCCTACATGTGTAAAAGGTGGATCCATGGACAGTCTGTCAGCAGGCAGATCGGACAGACATTTTCTGAACCTCAAACTTGCCTCTCAACTTCCTGCAGATGACACATTTGAATATTGTACTCGAAATGAGCCTCTTCCCTCCTACTATCCAGACAACGGCAGTGCGCAGTGCGCCCTCTGTTAAATGGCGACCTTGGTGAGCTGCTTGATCATGATAGTGTCGGACTAAGAGAGTGGCAACATGATGACTGGCTGGCAGGATGAGTGGATGTTTCTCTTGGTCTTCCAATTGGGCTTTATGGATGCGACCCCCAACTCTCAGCAATCCATCCTTGTCAAGAAATGGGTCCAGTTTCACAAGAGAGCTGTGGCTAGGAACATTAATGCCCTGAGTTGCTTGTAAACATCCTGCTGCACTGCCTTCAAGATGATTGTTTTGGCCTGAGAGAGCTCTGAGGTGTGTGACTGTTTGCAGTGATGCCATCCATTGCACTCTACAGTGTGAGACTTGCTGGAATAGGACTTGGCTACATGAATGAGTGTTGCCATACCTCTTACTAGAGCCTTCCAAGTAGAGAAATGTTTGAACCGTTGTGATCCGAGACTCTGCTCTGTGACCTTGGTTGCAAGAGAGAGAACTTGAGGATACATTTCTTTATCAGTCTCTGGTTGCACAAGTTCAAATGATTCAGTCTTATTTTCTTGCTCTGTGTCTGTCTGACGGAGAAATTGAGGGCCAAAGAACCAACTGGATGACATCAGACAAGCTGCTGGTATTGGCCTTGTTCCGTGGTCAGCAGGGTTCACTTCAGTTTTCACATAGAGCCACTGTTCTGGGTTAGTACTGTTCCTTATGCGAGCTACTCTGTTAGCTACGTAGGTGTAGAACCGCCTTGAATTGTTGTAGATGTAGCCAAGAACAACGCGACTGTCCGTGAAGAACCTGACTGCCTTCAACTCCAAGTCAATCTCAGACTTGATTAGTTTTGCCAGTTCAACCGCCAAGACTGCCCCACACAGCTCCAGGCGAGGTATGGTGTGCAATGGGTAAGGAGCTTTGATTTGCCCATCACAAAGCCTCCATGCCATTTCCCATCAGAGTCAAGAACACGTAGGTATGCTACGGCAGCAATTGCCCTTGTAGAAGCGTCTGAGAAAACACAAAGTTCTGTTCGTTTGCAAGATGACATTGAGACCGGGGTATATGGTCTTGGTACTTGAATCTGTTCCAGCTCAGTTAAGGAGTCAGTCCAAGCTTTCCACTGAGCTTCCTTCTCTGGTGGGAGTGGGACGTCCCACTCGTACTGTTCTGAAGAAAGTTCTCTTACCAACGCCTTGCCTTGCACAGTGATGGGAGATGCAAATCCCAGGGGATTAAAGAGACTGTTCACAGTGGACAGTATGCCTCGACGAGTGAACGGTTTAATGTCCTGTGAAACTTTAAAAGTGAAACTGTCATTATTGAGTTCCCAGCTTATGCCCAGACTCCGTTGGAGAGGCAAAGGGTCGGCTCCCAGATCCAGATCTTTAAAGTCGCTTGTTCGTTCTTCAAGAGGAAAGGCCTCCATGACCCTGGCACTGTTTGAAGCTATTTTGCGAAGCCTCAAATTGGACTCAGCCAGTAGGCTCTTGGTTCGCTGTTGCAGATCAATGGCTTCATCTTCTTTTGACACTGAAATTAGTCCATCATCGACATAAAAGTTCCTGAATACAAACTCCTTTGAGTCTGTGCCATGTTCAGTTTCCCCTTGCTCTGCAGCCTTTCTCAGCCCGTATGTTGCTACTGCTGGTGATGGACTGTTGCCAAACACGTGCACTGTCATCCAGTAGTCAACAATCTCCTTATCTGGGTCGTTGTCTCTGTGCCACAAAAAACGCAGGAAGTTGCGATGGTCCTGTCTGACCTTGAAACAATAGAACATCTGTTCTACGTCAGCTGTGACGGCTATTTGCTCCCTTCTGAATCTCAGTAGGACCCCAATTAGAGTGTTGTTGAGGTTGGGTCCACTGAGGAGAACGTCGTTCAATGACACTCCTTTGTACTGAGAGCTGGAATCAAAAACTACTCTTATTTTCCCTGGTTTTTGCAGGTGGTAAATACCGAATGTAGGCAAATACCAGCACTCTTGTCCATGCTGCAGTTGTGGAGTTGGCTCGGCTTGGTGGTTGTCAATGACCTTCTGCATGAAGTCAAAGAAATGCTCTTTCATGTCTGGTCTCCTTCTGAATGAGCGCTGGAGAGAGGAGAGATGCTGCAAGGCATGTTCCCTGTTATTAGGAAGGGGCTTGCGGGGGAAGCGAAAGGGCAGTGGTGCCACCCAGCGGTTTTCATCATCCATATACACCTTGTTTTCCATGATTCGGAGAAAGATCTTGTCATCCACAGACAGGGCTGGTTTGTCGTCGTCAGGTGTTTTTCGAAACACACTTTCTCCTATACAATCGAAACTTCCATTAAGGACGTTTTCCAGGCTGTGAGATGGGGCTGGAAGATGATGCTTGGCTGGACCATTTAACCTCTCCTTCACCTGAATGCTGTTCGTGCACGGCTTAAGAAAGGATGGGCGTCCATTTTGAAGGACATGGGTCTTGTAGACGTTAACATTGTTTGAATTGTGAGTCCCATCCAGGCATATTTCTCCAACTATGACCCAGCCAAGGTCAAGGCGCTGGGTGAGTTGTGAGGCCCGTTACACTGTTCACGCACCTTATGTAGACGCAGAATGTCTCTTCCGAGCAGAAGGAGAATAGGAGCATTGGTGTCGAGGGGAGGAATCTTGTCAGTCACTTGCCTGAGGTGTGGAAAATACTGTGTGATCTCCGGAGTGGGAATCTCTGACCTGTCGTCAGGCAAGTTGTTACATTCCAACAGAGGAGGGAGTGCTGCTTTAGTTTTCCCATCAAGTGACTCCACTATAATGTTGCATGCTTTTCTTCCTGCTGTCTCCACTTTGCCTGAGCATGTTGTTAGAGTATAGAGAGATGCATTGCCATTCAAGCCAAATAGATCGAAGAATTGTGATTTTGCTAACGACCGATTACTTTGATCATCTAGCACTGCATACACTCTGTGTGACTTGTTGGGATAATCAGCCTGGTATACATTCACCAAACAGATTTTCGAGCATGATCTGGGCTTGGGAGCACCACAGCAGATTTCTGTACACATGGAAGTTACTTCAGGTGGCCTTTGTCCTCCAGACTCTCCGCTTTGCTCATTCTCAGGTCTGAACATACCAAACGACCAAGGAGCTGGACCAGGATGCATGGCTGAGGTATGTTTGTCACTTTCACACTCCTTGCATTTAAGTGTTGCCTCGCAATCTTTGGCAATATGCTTTGTGGATTCACAACATCCAAAGCAGATGGATTTCTCCTTTAAATAGGTTATTCTCTCATCAAGGTGTCTTCCTCAAAACCAACGGCATTTTGACAGTGGATGAGGCTTGTTATGCACTGGGCATTGTTTGTCTGGTTCCTCTGTCTTGATAGCTGAGCTAGACTGTGAGGCAGAAGCAGTCACTTCAGTTTTCCTAACTGAAACAGCTGTTCTCGGAGTGTATTTAGGTGTTCTATCCACTCTAATGTCACTTTGGGAAGAGGAGAGACTGAATGCAAAACTTGGATCATTTCTGATCTTTGCCTGGGCACATACACATTTCACAAAGAAGCTGAAAGGTGGGAAAGGCACAAGATAATCTTCCTTATACCTGGAACCTTGCGTTACCCAGCGCTCTCGTAGACTCTAAGGAAGCTTTTCCACTATTGGATTAACACCTCTTGCAGTGTCCAAATATGCTAGGCCAGGCAGGAATCCACCAGATTTAGCGGCATCTATCTCCAGTAGCAAGTCACCTAGCTCTCTGAGCTGGTGGATGTCTTTGTTTGAGGTGGTTGGAAATGTCTCTATTCGTTTTAGAAGGGCATTTTTGATCACCTCTGGGCATCCATAACATTCCTCTAAGCGCCGCCATATCATACTGACACCTGCTGTGGGGTTATGAACGTGCACTGACCTTATCCGCTTTGCATGTGCTGCTGACTCCGGTCCAAGCCATTTGACAAGGAGGTTGAGCTCTTCGTGGTCAGACAGATACAGCTCCCTTGTAACTGCTTGGAATGATGATTTCCATGCCCAGTAATTTTCTGGACGATCATCAAAGGCAAGGAGCCCAGAACTCACCATCTCTTTTCTCACGAGATACTGAGCAAGATCAGGAGTATGAGGAGTTGGAGCTGAGTAGTTATTTGGAACGAAGGCTGGAGAGACAGGAAGCGATGCATAGTGTAGGTCCTCAGTGGGTTTGTGCTCATCTGCACCCTTGTGTGGCCAATGTATGCCCTGCTGTCCGTTATTGTGAGAAGTGAGTTTCTGTGTTTCCACGTTTTGAAACTGTTGGTGAGTGTTTTGTAAAAATGAATGTTTATCAATGTATTCTGTTGTGCGTCTTGCTGGATCCTCCTGAGCTACATCCTGTAACTCACCAAGATGTCCTTCTTCCAAATCTGCTGCAGCTGCTTCAAATATGGCTGCCTCTTTAGATGCGGCCACAGCTTTACTTTCCAGCTTCAAAACAGGTTTGCCTCCACCTCTGCTTTCTGCCTCATCATGGCTGCCTCCCTTTCTGCGAAGGATACCTTTATTTTTGCTGCTTCGGCTTTAGCTCTTGCCCTTGTCGCTGCAGCACTGACAGATGACTTGCTTGACCTTGTTGATGACCTGTGACTTGAGGCCCGGGACCTGGTCTCCACAGACCGGAGTTCTTCTTCCTGGTCATTCATCTTACTGCTGTCTGATGAATGAGTCTTTAGGTTGAAGTAGTAGCGTGCTGATCACAGAATTATTTCGCTGCCTTTCCAGCTGAGTAGTGTCTTTTTACTATTCTGTTGCGTATGCATCGCACTGCATAGCTTAACAGATAGCTAACAAAGACTCAGAAGACAGTTGTTGAGTTGACCATTTTCTGAGGCTTGAAATTGTAAAACTGCAAAAATAAACAGAAAAATACAACACAAGTTACACAATTGAAATAATACATGTGCAACATAATGCAAATAGAGTGCAGTATAATCAACAGCCTATGCTAAGAATGAGCTATGTCCGTTAGCTTAGCAGCTAGTTAGCTTAGCTTATCTTACACATTGAAACCACACAATCAATTAAACCACATTTTTGAAACATAACTTGGCACACAGGTAAGTTTGTATACTTACAGACAGATCTACTCCAAGGATTAAAACAAAATGATCTGTGGCATAGAAATGAGCTACGATGTGCTCTGCATGGCTTTCCCGTGTAAACTAAAACACAAGAAGGAGTCACGCTATCTGGTGCCTTAAAGCTACAGTACCGAATTGTGCCACTAGGGGTGCCAATACACTATGGTGTCAGAACAACCGCTCTCGCAATTGTTTTACGCTCAGTGTCCGAAAGAGAATTGCTTCTCAATTTATTCTTCCGATTATGGACTATTGTGATGTTGTCTAACAAAATGCACATAAATCAGATCTTGCTCCACTCAACATAGCCTACAATAGACTATTCAGATGTATTCTTGGTTGTCCTTTTCGTACACATCACTGCATAATGTATAAGCAACTTAAATGGCCTTCTTTAAATGTAAGAAGACACACGCATTGGCTTCAGCTGATATTTAAATGCATTTATCTTAACTATCCCCCTTATTTAAAGCAGTATTTTGTACCCTACTCGCCAAATCATCATTCTGTTCAGATTTATTTCTCTGTCCCCTCTGCAAAAAAATTGATTGGCAGAAGAGCGTTCATTTTCAAAGCCCCAACAGACTGGAATACTTTACCTGCTGCTATTAGATCTCTTGCATCATTGGGTATGTTTAAACATGCATTATCATCTCACTTTCAACTGGTCTGTACTTGTTATTAATGAAACTGATATTGATGAAACTGATTTGCTCAACTGTCTCTCAAATTGTAATGATTGTATGCATTGCTTGAATTTTACTTAACAGAGTATATGTGGTTTGTCTTGTGTGTCATGTTTTGCATTTTGTCTTTTTGTTTATGTATGTCTGTAAGTTGTTGCTATTGTCGGGACCCCCTTGAAAACGAGATGGTGCATCTCAAGGGGTTTATCCCAATGAATAAAAAAAAAAATCTATATACAGTGGGGCAAAAAAGTATTTAGTCAGCCACCAATTGTGCAAGTTCTCCCACTTAAAAAGAGGAGGCCTGTAATTTTCATCCTAGGTACACTTCAACTATGAGAGACAGAATGGGGGGAAAGAATCCAGGAAATCACATTGTAGGATTTTTAATGAATTAATTGGTAAATTCCTCGGTAAAATAAGTATTTGGTCACCTACAAACAAACAAGATTTCTGGCTCTCACAGACCTGTAACTTCTTCTTTAAGAGCCTCCTCTGTCCTCCACTTGTTAACTGTATTAATGGCACCTGTTTGAACTCATTATCAGTATAAAAGACACCTGTCCACAACCTCAAACAGTCACATTCCAAACTCCACTATGGCCAAGACCAAAGAGCTGTCAAAGGACACCAGAAACAAAATTGTAGACCTGCACCAGGCTGGGAAGACTGAATCTGCAATAGGTAAACAGCTTGGTGTGAAGAAATCAACTGTGGGAGCAATTATTAGAAAATGGAAGACATACAAGACCACTGATAATCTCCCTCGATCTGGGGCTCCACGCAAGATCTCACCCCGTGGGGTCAAAACGATCACAAGAAAGGTGAGCAAAAATCCCAGAACCACACGGGGGGACCTAGTCAATGACCTGCAGAGAGCTGGGACTAAAGTAACAAAGGTTACCATCAGTAACACACTACGCCGTCAGGGACTCAAATCCTGCAGTGCCAGACGTGTCCCCCTGCTTAAGCCAGTACATGTCCAGGCCCATCTGAAGTTTGCTAGAGAGCATTTAGATGATCCAGAAGAGGATTGGGAGAATGTCATATGGTCAGATGAAACCAAAATAGAACTTTTTGGTAAAAACTCAATGAGACGTGTTTGGAGGAGAAAGAATGCTGAGTTGCATCCAAAGAACACCATACCTACTGTGAAACATGGGGGTGGAAACATCATGCTTTGGGGCTGTTTTTCTGCA